AAGTGAGAATCCTTATATTATTTAAAAGTGAGAATCACAACTAACAAACAACATATTCTTACAATCATCTATTTCTTACAATCACTACACTTAGAATACATACATTGTAAGAATACAGTATATTCATAGACTCCCAACTTCCAAACGAGACCTAGAGAACTTAGAAGTTCCGTGCTGTAGTAGTAGGTTATCTTACTAACTAGTTCTGGTAATTGACCCGAATTTACCTCCTCTGTAAATCTGTTATTATTTCTTGCCTTTTAATTTTTTTTTTCACTCTTATTAATATTTTATTAGTTTTCAGCTGGGAGCGGAGAAGAATAAGGGGGACACGGCTTCCCCAATCTTTACCGCCGGCGTCTTCCCCATTCTCGTCCTCCTCCTCTTCCCTCTGCAATCTCAACCAATTTCATCACCCGTTCCTATTCAATCCCGTCTCCGGTGTCCTAATCGCACTATTACTCTTTGAACCAACAAGAAACCGGCAACTCAGTCCTAGTCATCTACTCATCTTCATCCGCTTGTCACTCCGCCAATTACCAGATCTGTTCTTCCTCTGGTTTTCCCCAATCTCTATGCTCTTTTGCTTCTTTTGAAGCCTTCAGTGCACTGGGGTTGTCACTAAATTGGTTTTTACCAATTTTAGATCTCTGTTTTTTCTCGTATTCGGGCGATGGGGAAAACTTCGGCGATCCTCTACGTATCCCTGTTTCTCATATTCCTAATGCTGCTCTCCCATTCTCCGAAGAAGCCTTCTACCCACCGCCGGCTCAAGCTCCGGACCAACTTCAATTTCAACGATCCCCACCACCACCACGACCCAATCCCCTTTGACCCCGTCGTGACCCAGATGGAGCGCCGCCTCGAGGATCGCCGGTGGGAGCATCACTATATCACCCATTCCCATCCCGACGCTGCCAATGATACCCTCTCCGCGCAGGCAGCGCCTGGCCACGAGTCACAGCCCGAGTGGGAGGATTTTGTGGAAGCCGAGGACTACTTGAACGATGAGGAGAAATTCAATGTCACCAGCAGGTAAGGGTTGATTCGTACAATGCCAATTGGAATTGGAAGTGAATTGATTCCCCATGGTAAAGAATGAAATGGGTGTGCGTGGCAGGTTGCTGCAGCTTTTCCCCAAGATTGACGTGGCACCTGTTGATGGTTTCGTGACTGAGAATGAGCTGACGGACTGGAACTTAAACCAGGCCGAGAAGGAAGTCATGCACCGTACAGAAAGAGAGATGGATGTTCATGACAAGAATCATGATGGCTTTATTTCCTTTTCAGAGTATGATCCCCCTAGTTGGGCTGTCAGTTCAGGTCATTCTTCCTTCTTTCCCCTCTTTCAGTGTGTTCCCCAAGTTTAAAGATCGCAACTTCCACAGTTACAGTATCCCCTGATGCTTCCACTCTGCTCACTTCCTGCAAATCGTTTCTTTCTATTGCATACTGAAGCAGTAGAACTGAAGTTCTGTAGTGATCGTATCAAAATCCTTGCCACTCTCTGGTTTTCTGGGTATACTTGTTTGTTGTGGAATATTTCATAATGCCATGTAAGGCCTCTTGCTGATATGCGTTTGTCTGCCCCAGATTCTAGTTCTTTTGCGCATGACATGGGTTGGTGGAAGGAAGAACATTTCAATGCATCAGATGCAGATGGAGATGGTCTTCTGAACATCACAGAGTTTAATGAGTAAGCTTCCTCTTCATTTTTAATTCTTGAATGTAAATTAGTTTCCTTCACCTATTCGGTTCTGATTCTGCTTCTAATTATTCTATTGCTATATTCTAGCTTCTTGCATACAGCGGACAGTAAAAACCCAGAGCTACTAAAGTGGCTGTGCAAGGAGGAAGTGAGGTGACTTACGTTTCAATGCTTTTCAAATTTTCCAAGAGTTATTCGAATCTCATCCTAATACATGTATACCTCAGCGTTAGGACTTTCTCATAAAGATTGGTCGACTTTTGAAAGTCAAGTTTGGGCTGCAGTGGCTTTTATGGTAGAATTTTAGTCCTGTAGTTTGTCTCATGTAATTATAGAAAGTGATTTATCCATCTTTCCATTTGGTATCAGTTTATGAAGCAGGGTTTTTCAGAGTGTTCTTACTGATTGTAGAAATTTGTCCAAGGCCATTGCTGTCTGTTTCCAGAGATCTGGTGTTTGTGAACTATATTTTGAATATACATATTTTGGAAAGAATCTTAGATGTTTAGATTTAGCAGTGTACTTTTACATTGTCCTATTGATGTGTATGATTTTGTGGTTAATAAGGGAGGCTTCTAGAATTGGACCGGTTTAGTGGTGAAATATGGAATGAGGATGTGTTGGATAATGATGTATGAGCCTATCGTATATAAGTTTGATGGTTAAACGTCTTGTTCTATCGTACTGTATGTTGCTTTAGAACCTCAACCCAAATGTGTCAAGAGAGGAATGTGTGTATAGGCTGGTATTGTCCAATTATGCATGAAATCTGTAGATTAGCCTTTACAGGCATCCTGGATTGTTAAGTGTCTGTTCTCGGCATGTAATTTTGGGTTTGTTGCTTGGGTTTCAACGAGAGATGACTGCATATATTAGGATAAAGATTACACATGTTATTTTTCCCGGGTTCTGAGTGCTTGAGCTTATTTTTGTTGTGTTCATGGTATTTCCTTCCATATTTGCTTTGTCGTTATTCTTGATCATGTGATCCCTACATGATTCATTCAACTAATTAAAGCCTTTTCCTTTTCAGGGAAAGAGATACAGACAAGGATGGGAAAGTCAATTTTAAGGAATTTTTTCATGGACTTTTTGATCTGGTAAGGAACTACGACGAAGAAGCGCATAATACCTCCCATTCATCTGAAGATTCAATGGAGGCTCCTGCTAAGGTGCTGTTTGCGCAGCTAGACAAGAACAACGATGGGTAATCTTGCACAACTATATAAATCTTCTTCCCTTAATTTTTCTCGATTATAATGGTTTTTTTCTGTATTCCATGAGCTAAACTCTTCATCGTTATTATAATCATAGCTGATTAGCTCCTGGTCATTTTAACACAGGTTTCTGTCAGATGAAGAACTATTGCCCATCATCGAGAAACTTCATCCATCTGAACATTACTACGCCAAGCAACAAGCAGATTATATAATATCACAGGTATTTATTCAGCCTCCTAATGAGGGACATGCTATCCAGAGCAATCAGAGATTCTTTTTGTTCAACACAGTTGCTACTTCTTTAATCGCTCTGTAAGCTGTAGCTGTTATGTATTTGATGATTTGGTTTTAACTTATCGCCAGGCTGACGGGGATAAGGATGGGAAACTGTCACTGGCAGAGATGTTGGAGAACCCGTATGTATTCTACAGCGCGATCTTCACCGAAGAGGAAGAAGAAGAATACGATCACGATGAGTTCCGGTAGTTGTAGTTTCAGAAATAGAGCTCACACTGGATTTTTGTTCTTCTTGGGAGAGAAGGGGGAAATGGGTAGAGCAGAAATTGGAGATGATGGTGGTGGGGATCCTCGTCGGCTGGCGTCAGACATCAGTTTATTGTTGCAGGGAATGGAGGATCAATGAACAGAGGGATAGAGCGAGTAGAATGGGTTTTAGTATGGAGGGATGCTCGTTGTGGAGATCCCACTGGAATCTTGAGATACACGTAACTATATATTTATGTTTCTTGGGGAGGAAAAAATTGTTACACTTTTTGGGTAGGGGTTTGACACACATGTGTATCTACTAGTTCTTACTTACATTATATCTCAAAAGGGAATGAAGAATGGTTTGCTACTTGGTTTTGACTTATAACTGGGTTTATGCTTTCATTAGGAGCATTTCTAGCACAAACGACTGCTACCTCCAAGTGCTAACTACAACGAATGTTGGACGCGAAAGGTTTTGTGTTTGAATCCCACTTTTCTTAAAATTACTGCGATCAAGGTTGGACCTAAAGATTTTAGGTTTGAATTTACTCTTCGTTGGAATCATGTTATAGGCATTCTCTCTGGCTTCTAACGAAAGAAAATAACCTGAACTAAATGGGACATCATGATCCATATAGCCAAATTATCAATTTTTACGAAATGTGTAACACCAAACAGTTTACACCCAATTGCACATTTGTAACTATTTTTTTCATGGAATTTCACCATTAATAAACCAACTAAAAAAAAAGCAGCGCATTCCAATGAAAATAGAAATAGACAGATGATGATTATTCAGTTACATCCCCGTCATCGTCATCATCGCTGTGGCAGTCGTCGTCGTCGGACGGCGGAGAAGGATCCAGACGGGCAGCATCCTTGGCCCACCTAATAATCTTCTCCACCTCATCCTCCTCGTCGTCTTCGTCTACGGTACAGAATCCTCCGCTTCCGGTGAGATCAGGGGAAGGAAGAACAGGAGCAGCTCCACTGCCGCTTCTGCCTTTGACCTTGAGAGCATCGAATCTGGCCATGAGATCGTCCTGCGATTGCCCAGCGGATGCAACGGCGGACGAGGAAGCAGAAGCCGATTTGAGGGCGGCGGAGGATGTGGAGGCAGGAACTGATTTTAGGGCGTCAAGTCGACGGCGGAGATCGGAAGGCAGGGAATCGCTGCCGTTGGGAGTCTTCGAGATGTGAGAATCTACGGAAAGCTTCAGCATAATCTCGTCTTGAGCAGATCGAAGCAGCTCCTCCACCGCAGCGTCGTCATCTGTTCCCGCTCTTCTGCTACTCTCTCTCCTGGCCGCCGCCATCTCTTCCTTTTCCCTACCCTTTCCGCCGCCGCCGCGGTGGTCGTGATTCTTCATACAGTGAACGAAGTCGATCCCCTCTAGATTGCGTCGTTTGCAGGTTATCTACCATATTAATCCGGAGATAAATGGGAAAAGATTATTCCAATTTCCAACACAGCCCAGCCCACTCATTCTACATATAGAGCCCAGCCCAAAATGAAACGGCCCAATACACATTTCTTTTGATAAATTGGTTGCTCCAATGAAAATAACAAGGAATCATAACCGGAAAGAGAGGAACAGCTTCTTTACGGTATCGATAAACCAAAAATTACAGCACTAACATTCCCCAGGTTGATTTTATCAGCAACAATGACAATGAGCTAATACTCAATTATTGCTCAAAGAAAGAGTAATGTGGGGAGGTCGGTCGCAAGTTAAATATTTAACTCACGCAAATCCTACTCTTAATCACTACTTAACGCTACGGAGCTTGTTTATAGCTTCCTAACCTCTCCGTTTTTCAAAAAAAAATTGAGGGAAAAAAAAAAACAATACAGAAACAGAATTTAACATTCCAGCTCCCCTCCTTTCATCCATTTTCCCCCACCGTAGAAGGGACAGGGGGGAACAGAACACAAGCCCGGTGGCCGCCGGTGACTCCATCTCCTTCCTTGAACTCGTCTTCCCCCTCAACTCATACAACAGAACCGGGCTACTTACCCTACTGTCAGCCCGAATCCAAATTTGTAGTCACTCTTCTTATGATCAATCTGCACCAAATGAGAAGTACCAACTAGGTTTCAGAGTTTACAGGAGAAAACCATAACCGAAATGAAAGGGTTCGAGAGAGCGAAAACAACTCCCATACCTCGGCCGATAGGACAAAGTTGAGACCCATGTTCAACCGCTCCTCCAAGAATGCAGAAGCACACCCATTGGAGTCTAGCTTCCCTCTCAGACGAGCCTGCACCAGTCCAAAACTTAGCTCTACTCCCCACCAAAACAAGGTATCTATATAACTGTGTATGGTTTTCTCAGAATGCTTACTTGTCTGAGGATGTAATCGTATCCAACACTGGCAGTCACATCTCGCGAAAGGTAATTGTACATGAAATCTGTTGCCAATGAAACCTACACGACGGAACAGCATGATTAGTTGAAGAGGTTCGTCTTACACATTGACAAAACAACGATACACTTGGTTCCCTTGAGAAATCTAGGTTACCTTCTCTGAGACCTTCTGGACGTAGCTCATGGCAACCATACCGGTGCTAGCAACTTGCCCTGTCGCAACCTGAAAACCAAACAGCACAAATAAGTAAAGACTGGGGTTGCAGAAACATAAGAAATCAAGTGTATGGTATGGATCATATTTCCCCACATCAAAGCAAAAGGAACATGCTAGAAACCTTTAAGGACACAAAAGGAAGCCACTATACCATTTTATCGTTCTCATACCGAGCAGCATACCCAACACCAGACTTTAGATGCTGACCGGCCCAAAATACTTCACCACCCATGGATAAATGTGGGGTAATACTCTGTATAGAAACAATGGAGAGGTTAAAGGAGAGGCCACTGCATTTGGAACATGCCTCTGTTAGAGAAGAGGCTCAGAACGTGCATGGATAGATGAAGTGTAAGATAGCTGGCACAAAACCAGCGCTTGAATTGGGTAAAGCACCTGAATGTAACTAGCTCCAAACAAAGAACCATCTCCTAATTGAAGTTGAGTTCTGTAATCTTTGCCCTGCAAGAGAAGAGAGCACCAGCACAAGAGAAAAGAGGCAGCATTAGGATTTAACAGTGTGGTGCTTCCACACCGCTATGCATGGATAACATATAATGGCAAAGCCATATAAGAGGTTCTTGATATAGCCAAAAACTGTGCAATGCATGAAGTGGTATCACAAACAAAAGAAAGAGTGAGGTGAAAAATGCATTTCTCATTGTATGTAGTGTAGCTAAAACCAAAGGCCAGTACTTATCCTTTTCCTCCGGAAACTAACATTTATTGAATGCTATGATGCATTCTCAGATGTTATCTAAAAAAAACTTCGTTGCTAGTGACTATGTTCATCCTCAAGCAGGAATAGACAAATATGTTTCCTTCTAGTCACCTTGCAGAAGATATCCACAATTGCAACACTTATGTCACCCAAAAAAACTACAGATTGGGCAGGCGAATGAGCATGTGGTAGTTTAATCATTAAAAGTAGAAGCAGAGAAGAACGGAGGCCTGACCTTGTAATCAAAGTTGACCATGCCATGAGACATATTTGGCTCATTTGACAGCTGGATGGCAAAAAGGAGCAACAGTTAAGCAGGAAAGAGCACAAGTTCCACACATAAAAACACTCATAAGAAACAACAAACTATAAACATAAAAAGTTAAATTGGCAAGTAATTCACCTGAGCATTAGCTTTTAAACTAAGATCATCAGTTAAGTCGCATTTCACCCTTGCTGTTAGTCTCCCGTCGGTCAAGACCCTTCCAATGAGCATCAACTGAAAACGCCATATGTCAATCATAATATTTCAGGAGTTCAATTACTCAACAGAGCAAGGGAATCTAAACATGGCAACCGTCACCTACCTTTGGGTCGATAAAATTAGCACCAAATTCATAATGAGCAGTGGGAATTTTAAGGGTTTCAGCCCCTTGAGAAGGAAGTTCCATGGGACCCATGAAAACGCTGATGAATGGAGGAAACAAATCATTATCGCCAGAATTCATAAGAAAAGGTTCACCGGAACAGAAGTGACATATACAAGAAGCAAAAGATACCTGTGACTCAGCGAAAATTTGGGGTTAAGCCCTTTGGTGAAATCAAAACGCATCCCTTCAAAAAGCTCAGGCTTTAAAGACACTGCCAAAAGATGCAAGAAATCAGTTCTACTAGACTAGTTAGCTGGTAGAACCAACAGCACAAGAATTACTACCGTACTACAACTGTATCATTAATACAAGCAAGCATAACCATTGGGTTCAGATGTTTCAAAAGCTAGATTCTTTAGGATTTCTAGCATTGAGACCCGAAACCTAAGAACCAACATCCAATTCCTGATTCTCATGAAACAACCAGCCATTAAAGCAATACACTAATTCAGCTGTGCTGCAACTGACAAGCTAGAAAATATGGATCAAGCCTCAACAATTAACGAGCTACGAGTACGAAAACAGATCCAGAGAGGCAAAACGGCGAGTCAGTGAATATAAACCAATACGTTCACACGGGAAAAAGCTACGGGGAAAAAGGAAACCAGGGGGTGCAGGGGAGATAGGTAAACATATGAAGATTGGGAACTATACTGATAGCTTCGCGTTGAAGTTCTTCGAAGGGAATGGGGCAAGGGAGGTTGAAGTAATCGACTTTCTTCTTCCCGACTTCATCGATCTTCTTCCCAGCGGCAGCATCGCCGAGGATTGTGGCACCGGGAGGTGGAAAGCCTGCCATTGCTAATGCTAGCTCGGATTTGAATTCGCAAAGGAGACGCAGACAGAGGCACCGAGAGGAGAGCGGCGCGGCGGAGGGACGGGTAACGAACTAGTCTACTGAAGAAAAAGAGTACAGACTATAGAGGCGAGAGTGGGGTTTGGGGTTTTGGAGAGGAAAGGGTTTTATTTACGGGATATAAAATAAAAAATCACCCTTTACTTCCGGCAGGGTTCACTGACATCATACTTGGTTGTTTTTCAGTTTAGGTCAAGTAGGGTCACATTCATAGGGCTGCAAACGAGCCGAGTCGAGTCGAGTTTTTGCTTAGCTTGAGCTCGGCTCGTTTATAAATCTTTTAGCTCGAGCTCGGCTCGAACTCGAATTTTCATCATCCAGCTCGAGCTCGAGCTTGACTCGATTAAAAATAATCCAGCTCGAGCTCGGCTCGATAAAGCTCGGTAAATGCTCATTAACACAGCTTGTCAAGCTGAGTACAAGCTCGGCTCAAGATAAGCTCGATTTGAAACCATTCTTGCTGAAAAATGTGTACAAATAAGAACATTAGAAATTAAAAATGATCTAACTTCCATACACATCCTTATTAACAAGATAATTTTCATGTTCAGAAAAGTAATTAATCCTTTCACAAGCTTTAAACAAGCCAGCTCGCGAGCTTAGCTCAACAAGCCACCGAGTCAAGCTAGCTCACGAGCTTATCAAGTCGAGCATGGCCTAGCTCAAGCTTGGCTCGTTAGTAGCTCGCGAGCCGGCTTGTTAAACAACGAGTCGAGTGTCGAACGAGTTTTTTTCCGATTCGAACGCCGAGTTGCTCGCGAGCGGCTTGGCTCATTTGCAGCCCTACACATTCATAGTAAAACCATAATAACGTTTTAAAACGTCACAAAAATATTACTCAAGTATCGTGATAAAATATAGTGAATAGTGAATACTCATTTTCGTTAATGTCATAATTATTTCGATATTCTTTCTTTTTACTAAATTAGGTGAGAAAGAAGTTGCCAAATGCTTTATAGGGCATGCTTGTTTAGATTAATTATATTAACCACACACCAAAAAGTCATGTTAACTAGACCAAATTAACCAAAATTCGGCCAAAATTAAGGGGAGCGATCGTTTTGTTAGGAGTTGAGAAATATATGCAGCCAATTTGGAGCATTTTAAAACTCAGGGATGATGTTGTTTCTTTGAACATAGTTTAGTGACCATTTAGGAATTAAGCCTCCAGCATCCGGTAAAGCTGAGGAAACGATGTCGCTTCGTCTCTTTTCAATTCCCTTTCTTCCTTTTTCAGTTCTGCGTTCCACGCGCGGCGCGAGGTCACGAAGGTTGAAGCCGCTGCCGAGTGAGTGAGCCCGAGTCGGACTGCCGTACCCTCTCTCTGGTTCAGTTTCCGGGGAAGGGGGAAGCACATCTCTCGCGGCGGCGGGGCAAGGTGGAGCCATGTATCCAAGTTCAGGTCACACTAACGGCTACCACGACCAGCAGCAACAGCAGCCAGAGCAGCAGCGATTTGTGACGACGGCTCAACGGCCACGAGTCAGAAGAGGGCCCCGCGGCGGCGGCGGCGGTGGAGTTAGGTCGCGTGATTACGGCGATGGGTTTAGGGTTTCTGGCGAGGATAATAGCCAGCCACCGTCGCAGCAGGCGGAGCAGCAGAATCTCGCTCCATGTACCGACTTCGACAAGGCCTACTTCCATTCTTACGCTCATGTTGGCATCCACGAAGAGATGATCAAGGTTTACATTCCCCCCGTTCTGTTCTTAGCTTTGTTTCAGAGCTTCCTTGATTAATTTTGGATATGCGGTCCGAATGTGGAGCTGGAGTGAGTGTTCTTGTTATCTCTACTGCAACATATGTGATTCTTTTGCTGCAATGCGTATATGACCCTGAGTGCAAACAGGCGGCGAGGTAGCTACACAAATTGCTTTCCTGCTCTTGTATACAGTTCAGAATGAATACCAAACCTTTGTCTTCTAGTTTTGCGTTTAGGATATGCATAAACAATGGGAATGTCGATCGTTTTGTTTCATAGTCCCTCCTAAGCTGATTTGGAGTATTTTGTTGACTTGTAGACATTGGAAGTCTGGTTATTTACGCTTATTTCTCTGTTTTTTATTATTATTACAGGACAGAGTGCGCACAGATACTTACCGAAGTGCAATCTTGCAGCACCAGCGCCATATTGAAGGCAAAGTAAGTGGTGATTGTCATTTTTTTTTTTTCTGGAGTGTGTTTGGTTCCTTTTTTCCTGTAAGTACCTTACAAGCATTTCATGTGGCTACTACTGAATGCTGTATCTGGCTGAATGGGGGTATTCTCGGGTTAACATTTTTTTGCATCTCCTGAATGCACAATGTGGGCATACAACAGGTTGTGATGGATGTTGGTTGTGGCACTGGAATTCTAGCTATATTTTGTGCTCAGGCTGGTGCGAAGCGGGTAAGTCATCTTGGAGCTAATATATTCAAGGCTTCTTTCTTGCATTGAGCAGTGTTGATTTTCTGGTCAATTGAAGGACAAACAAAGAAATATGAACTGCACAAAAGCAGCTAGTTGAAGTTGGAATTTGAATTAATTTTAACCATTATGTTTGTGTATTTTCTTTTGGCAGGTATATGCTGTGGATGCTAGTGATATTGCTGTGCAGGTATTTCATCATCTCTGTCATTTTGCCTTTTCTTCTTCGTTCTCCTCCTTTCAACCCAACAAGCTGTCGCATATTTATGCTGTCAGAGAAACCTTGTTCACCTTATATTTTGTATAGCTTTCTCTAGCGGTGTTAGGATGACAAATTTGGTTAAAAGGTGTTAGCTATAATTTCTAAGGGAGTTCTTATTTTCTTGATTCAGGCTAATGAAGTTGTGAGGGCAAACAATTTATCTGACAGAATTATTGTATTGCATGGGAGAGTTGAGGTATGTTCTGGTTATTAAGTGCTCTTTTGCTCATTAGCCAACGATTTGGTTGCTATTCCCGACCTTTCAGTTCCTATTATATTTTACTAATTGCAAGTTCATATTAAGACTTATATGGTAAGGGGAATGGGAGCAGCGTATTAAGACTTATATAATACATACATGGTACGAGGAATGGAATCAGCCTATTTGATGAAGTAGCCCCATAGAGCTATTTAAAATTAATGCACTGCTAGATATCCATTCCTATGCTCGGCAATCTATTTCCATCTTCCATCAGCTGGCATAAATAGTTTTGTCAATTTTTTCTCAGGATGTTGAAATTGATGAGGAGGTTGATGTTATAGTTTCAGAGTGGATGGGCTACATGCTTCTCTATGAGGTATTTGCAAATGGATGATGTTTCAGGGTGTTATGATATCTGCTCTTTCTTAGAATCAAAAGAGGAAGCTGTGCCACTCCATTGTTCTGTTCTCAATGTGGGGTGTTCTTATTTTTATTAAATTGTAGAGCATGCTCGGAAGTGTAATTACTGCAAGAGATCGGTGGCTAAAACCTGGTGGTCTGATTCTTCCATCACATGCAACGGTATGTTTTCAAGTGTTGGATAGTGCTCCTGAGATTGTTTGAACTCTTTTGTTTATGATAACACTGTTTCCTGCTGGAGTTTCTGTAGATTCTGTTTGTATTTATTTACTTACTATAGTGTGTTTGCTCATAAAGCTTGTTAATGTTTCAAAGGTGGATTTGAAAAATTATGCTTGCAGTTATATATGGCGCCTATCACACATCCTGATCGATACACAGAAAGCATTGATTTTTGGCGCAATGTGTATGGAATTGACAGTGAGTATCTCTTGGTTAATTGCTCGACACTCCAACTTCAGGAAATTGTTTTGTCATGGGTGCTTAGATAAATTTGTTTGTGTTTGCGGGTTACAGTGTCTGCCATGTTGCCATTAGCTAAGCAGTGTGCATTCGAAGAGCCATCGGTGGAGACAATAAATGGTGAGAATGTCTTGACATGGCCTCATGTGGTAAGTCTTGCCTTCTAAAATTTTGTTAACGCAGGCATGCTTGTGATTAGCACCCAGAATGATGTTCTACTAGTTGTTTTGTTTACCCATTGGCAATCTTATGTTATCTTGCTTCGTTAATGCTGTTGGATGGCCTGGGGTTTCTGTTGCTGTTCTAAGATTGTGTCTCTTCGAGTTATTTTCAGATACGCCTTGGGTAGTCAGTCTGAATCCTAGATACTTCTCTTTGTAAATTTGAGAGTCTATTGTCTCTGGTAACAGGTGAAATATGTGGACTGCTATACACTTCAAATTTACGAGCTAGAATCTGTCACAACAAGGTTTCAGTTCAAGTCTATGATGAGAGGTATTCTAAGATAGCAGCATCTGTATATGATTTGCTTTTCTTTGGCTGCCTACCCGCATGTAGCCTCCAAGTAGTTTGATTGTCTGTTTTTTTTCTTGTACTTTGCAAAATCTCAGCTCCTTTCCATGGGTTTGCTTTTTGGTTCGATGTCGAATTTAATGGGCCTGCCAACGTGAACGCAAATGCACAAATTTTGCTACCTGGATCACCGAATCCTCCGTCCTTGGATGGTGTTGTGAAGAAGAAGAGGACGAACCCAAGTGACATGCTTATACTGTCTACTGCTCCTGAGGATCCTCCAACGCATTGGCAACAGGTATGTATTAAAAGTTGCCGTGGCAGGGTGCGATTGTTTAACTTCTTGTCTGATGAATTGGTACTGACGCCGAGTGTTAAAATGGAACTTTTGCCTGTCTTAATCGTGTGTTGGGGTTGCAGACTTTGATATACTTCTATGAGCCAATGGAGGTGGAGCAAGATCAAGTAATAGAAGGGTCATTGACGTTGTCACAAAGCAAAGAAAACCGTCGGTTCATGAATATTCACCTAGAGTACAGGTGAGAGACGAGATCACTGATTGTATGCACGTTTATGGGCTAAAAAGTAGAACAATGGATGTAACCTCATGAACCCTATTCTTGCCATCCACCATCACTGACTCGTTATCTGTGGGGTTTGTGTTTTCTGGTGCAGCTCTGGTGGTCGGTCTTTCGTGAAGGAGTCGGTTATGAGATGAAAGGATCCATGTATAAGCAAGCGAGAGAGAGAGAAGTATACTGCCGAGCTGTCCTCGCCCTGCAGCAGCCGCGCTTTTGGCTGATTAGTTTCTTGGGAAGGAGGCAATTGTATACTAAAAGGCATGGGATAAAGGTAAACGCAG